GGGTCTGTATTCTGAGTTGTAATCTTGTTCCTGTAGATATGTAAGGCAGGTTTGGATGCCATCCTGGTGTGAGATGTTGGTATATAGGCTGGTAACATCCATGGTGGCTAGGAGGGTGTTGCTGGGAAGGTAGTCTATGTTTTTAAGTTTCCGTAGAAAGTCTGTAGTGTCTTGGACAAAACTTGCTCTGTGGGTGACAAGTGGGTTTTTTCCCAGTTATTTAAGTTGGTCTAATAAGAGATATCATATTCACCCAAAGAACCTTGTCTGCCTGTGTCCTTAGACCAACATGGCTACAACCTACACCCCTCTCTCAAAGTTGTACACTCAATGATCAAAGACTACAGTGAGTCATTCTATATTTATCTGCAATTCCTCTGGTTTCTGCCTGCCATTCAGACTATGGTACCCAGTACTGGATGCTATATACATATTTTAAAAGATTTTAATTTAAATAAAAGTATATTCCTCAAAAAATCATTTCTGATCATGCAATTCTGGAATATATTTTAATTCAAGAGTAAATTTTCCTGTAATTAGATGGTGTTTGTGTTTGCACATGCTCTCTACCATTTCCCCTGGTAGCTATTTTCTCCAGATTGCAAAATCTGCCACTGAAGGAAGTCCTTTATTTTGGGATCTACAAACTATGGATGACTTTTTCAGTCTTGGTATTTGCCATAGGATACACTCTTCAAGCAGGGGACTCCAGCCTCTTCCACTGGAAGGAAGAAACAGCGGTGTTGCAGAAGACAGGTTTAGAGAACGCAAGTTACAGAAAGTTGAGCTCCAGGGTCTGAGCAGCTAATGGGGGTCCTTGTTGCTGATTTGGACAATTGGCAACACCTGGGCCCTGTTTTCCACAAAACCAGGTCAGGTGACAGGAACAGGAAGGCTAAAAGATCAGTCTGGTCCAAATCCCTACCAGAAAAGGAGTTTAGCAGGAAGCAGAGATAACTTCTGTTTTGTTTTGCTTTGTTTTGGGTTTGTGCTAGGAGGCCAGAGAGCCCAGAGAAGGGAGTAGAGCAAGTCCATAAGGTTCAAGGGCTCTTATTCAGTGTGGCCAGAGGGGAGGGGAAGGAAGCCATGAAAAGGTGCCCTAGCAAGGGTGCTGCAAAGGTGGGTGCCAATGAGACACCCACATTGTGAGACTGCAGTGCAAAGGGTCAAGTGCAGTGAGATGAGATGAGTGCCCGCAAAAGCCCCCAAAAGTAGTGTCTGGGATAGGCAAGGTTGCCTCATGGGGCTGGAGCCCCCAAAAGGCAGAGAGAGAGAGAGAGAGAGAGAGAGAGAGAGAAAGCTAGGGTGCAAGGGTTGAGTAGACTGGCAGTCTGATGATGATTAGGACACTAAAGGTCAAACTCCACTTCTCTGAAGGCAGCCTCCTAAAATATACATTAACTAACATCAAGGCACAGCAGATGAGAGAACTAGAATAGGAAGAAGGAGTCGTGTGACCACCAGAGGGTGCCAAAGCCACTCCTGAAGATGTGCAATGTTACAGCTCCAAGTGCAAGATTATTGCAAGAAAATAAGCTGGTTACAAATACTAAGCTTGGTTCTCCAGTGAATTACATGAGCTTTACACCACAGGAATTCTACAGACATGAATACAGCTAACATGAAAAGCAATGAAACATACTAGAGAATCAGACCTAGCAGTTTAAATTTAAAACAACAAAAGCAGAATTTCACATTCTTCCTTTCTTTTAATATTCATCCTGGGATGGGAAGCACTGTCTTACAAAGCATCACAAAAAATTAGTTTTGAGGTTTACCTTTATCTCATTATACAAGGAACAGTGACTTTTTTTTTTCCAAAGCCCTGCTGCAGTGGTGATAATTTATTTCTACTCATTTTCTGGAGGGGATATATTCTGAAGGACGAACTTAATGCAAACTAGGTAGAAGGGGCTCTGTGCTTCAAAAATCTGCTACTACCACCAAGGGAGGAATATGATTTTGTAATATTTATGATAAGAGTTAAGCCAGAGGTATTTCTCTTATGTACATTATTAGTCTAACCTAGAAAGCCTTTCAATATTTATTAAAGAAACATCTAGTCCTTTTTTTTTTCTTCATTTTCTTATCTTTTCTCTCTTGAAGCTCAAAGAATGGAAGCTGATGAACACAGCTGGTTGTTTTACATAACACGCTACCTGCCTGCTCAATGTTCTCAGCCTGCATCTGCACATACATCCTTTGCTTCTCAGATGTACAATTTTATATCTTTGTACAAAATGCAAAATACTATCAAGGAACTTCCTAGGCCGATTTGATTATTTTAGCATGCTCTAGAAATACCCAACCTGGATAAAATTAAATTATTTCATTGATAGGTGCAGAATTATTTTTTTCACTGCAGATGCATGACAATCTAAACAGCAGGCATTAATAAATAGCTTTTACCACTACAGGCCTTTCTAATTCAGTGCCCTATGTAATAAGCAAAAGGAAATTGTGTTTCTTCTTTTAAATGTATCACACTAGATTTATCTTATTAAGCTTATCAGTAGATCATTTGTATCAGCCTCTTTATTCAGTGTTTTTTAGCTCCTATTTCTGCTTATGAATCATTTGAAAATCATCTAGTTTCTCTGAACTTTTTTGCAAGAGTAGCTCATACAAATATATTTCTGCCAATGCACATCTCTGTGTCAGTTAGGATTCTGTACAGACATGTCATCCCAGCCAGCATGCTGACTATATGACACAATGTGATTTTGAGTAGTCAACATGCCTGTTATTTCTGATCCCTAACTGACTCCCAAGTACAAAGAGGTTTTTAAGATATAACGCGAACTATTCCAATTCAAATATGCAAGATGCATATGTGATATCTTTTATTGGACCAACTACATAGATGGGATAGAGTTGGACAAGCTTTTGAACACGTAACATTCACCTTTAGGTCTTCTTCTATCCCATCTAAGCAGTTGGTCTAATAAAAGCTATCACCTAAAGAAATCCTTGTGTCTCTCATAATTCCTGGACCACAATGGCTGCAACATCACTATAACACTACCAACATAAATACTCATGCAAATACATATCTGAATGAAGAATTAACCGTTAGCAGTTTCCACTACTATTTTGGAGCATAAAAATAACTTACACAAACTGTGTCATTGATAGGAGTGAGTAAAAAACTACAGTACCACTGAAGAGAACTCTGATTTTAGCTGATTGAATATTTTATGGTATTTTTTCACTCTCCCTGTACTACACATAAAAATAGTGTTCTTACCAAGATGCATAACTTCATAAGAGTAAATGAAAAGCTTTCTAAGAGCCATATTAGGGAAAAATATAGGCTGATGTTTCTACTAAAATTGTCTGCTATCAAGAATAATTAATATTAACATCTACAATGTAATAATTACGTTTCAGCATTACTAACCTCTCTTGAAAGGTGGTAGTTCACATTCCTCAATGCTACAGTTTTCATCCATCTTCATATTCACAAACCACCCTATAAGCAGATCATATTCTGAAAGAGTGTTTTTACAATCAGAAAAGCTAGACTTTTTATGAAAGCTTATGCTCTATAAAATTTGAAAGGGTCATTTATGCAATCAGCACACAATGCACCACAGGATAGTACCCCTCATCCTATTCAGCCTCTGATGAATCAATTTCTTAGTGCCCGATGCAATAGTTGAAGAAGACCACAAGTTGGCATAAGTCAACTAAAAACCAGGAAAGAGGTTTATATATTACTGCATTTGTAAAAGGTGTGTCCATTTGTTCCCCACGAAATGGCTCTAAACAGGGGCAGGCAAAATACGGCCCATGGGCTGATTCCGACCTGCCAAGCCATTCTGTCCAGCCTGCAGGGCCCCTAAAAACTTTAGTAAATTAATGGTTATTTGCTCCTGCCTGCCGGTCAAAGATGACTGGAGACAGGGGCAGTAGGACCCAGGGGGAGCCGGCAAGACAGAGCAGTCCAGCCCCGCTCCACCCCCAGCCATTTCCCTGTCTTCCTGCCCCTGCACTGCTCCAGCACCACATGGCCCCAGGCTACATTGCCAGATTGGGGAGCATGGGCTGCACCAGTACCCCAGGGCCAGGATTGGGGAGGGGGGTATAGGCAGAGGGTGTGTGTGTGTGTGCACATGTGTGTAAGCAGGACTGGGGGGGTTTCTGTGTATGTGTGTAGGCAGGGGCAGAGGAGGGGTGTCTGTGTAGGCAGAGGGTGTGTGTGTCTAGGCAGGGGAAGAGGGTGTATGTGTGTGTAGGTGGGGAAGAGGGTGTGTGTGTGTGTGTGTGTGTGTGTGTCTGTGTGTGTGTAAGCAGGGGCAGAAGGGGTGTGTGTGTGTGTTCATAGGTGAGTCCCATGTGGTAGCCAGAACCAGAGGGGTTACTATCATGGGCAATAAATATATGCTCTTGGAGGCATTCAGCAATTGTATATGCAGTTAAGATTAGCTAATGCAAAGCTTGTAAGTTTGCAACTTGCAACTGGAATTTGTCTGTCACAATTTGACCAAAGTGTTGAATCTAACTCTTTGCACTGATCATGGGACCACTGAGCCCCAAAAATAAGCAGAGCTACAAGATTAGCTGATCTAACAGGTTTTTTAAAAGTTAAGCCATAACAAGATCTGACCACCTAATATAATTATCACATTCCAAGGAATCCAGGAATAAGAAGCTAAGGGCAGAGTAATGCTAACTTCAAACCGCAAAGTAATGTGGTGTAATTTGCTTATTGGGTGAACCCGGTTCGGGTGGTAACCTTTCATGATAATTTCTAACACCTTTTGATCCCATAGGGTAACAGCTATAGGGCAAGATTGTGAGTGGCTCTAAAGCCAACAGATTAGCATAAGATAAGGCATAAAGAAGCATGTATGTCAGGTGACCAGCATGAAGGATGGGACAGAAGGACCATCTCTGTACCAAGCCTGGACCCCAGGCTCCCAGTGTGAGTGAGGACCATATCCTGAGCAAGGGACCTTCCCAGTGACCCCTCAGACAGCGTTGATCGGGGACACCAGACTTCACTGGAACAACTTGGCGTGCACCTGGCATAGAGGGACTGCCGATAAGTTGCCAGCCCCATGTGAGAACTCTTTGTCATTCTATCTGTTGTTATCATTCACTATCTCTTTATTACTGTACTATCTGTTTGTCGCATTAACCTTTCTGTTAACTGTTGTATGCTAAGCTATAAGTAAATTTGCCTTTACTTCACTCCCAACTCACCTCCTCGATCCCGAACCCAGCAGCCTAACAGCTGATACACACACAGCACCTAGCCGGCCTCTGATAGTCCCATATGCACACCCCACCATATACAGGCACCCGCACCCCACCTTGTACTGCCATACATGCAGACCCCCGACATCCCAGCCACCCTCCCCCCACACAATTTCCCCCACAAACCCCATACCCACCTACACCCCACATATCCACACACAAACACACCCACATGCTCCCACACCCCCACACCTATCCACACCCTCCCCCACATCCTACATACCCACACACCCACAACCACCCACAAACCTATATGCACACCTCACAACATACAAGAGTAAGACTTAATTTTAAGCTATTGTGCGATCCTCTCTCAGTACACTACACAACACATGTAAATCAGGCCAAAAGCATTTTTTGAAATCAAATTAATGAATGTTGTAGATGTTTTCTTTTAGAATATAATTTTGTATTTTTCTGGTTCCAAGATGGCAAAACCCCTTGCTGAAACAAGTACTTCCAGGGCCAAGGGGACAGACTTCTGGTGGCAAAGGTCAGGGGTTAGGGGGTGGGACTTCTACTCACAAGATGATGACCAGGGGATGAGGTACCTGTCAAGGGGCAGGACTACCCATTAACCACTCGACAGCTTGCTCAAACTCAGTAAGCAGCCCTGCACCCAAAATAATTGCCGGCCCCTGCTGTAAAATCACTATCATCTTCTGTTCACAGCAAAAAAACAATTGCCAGAAGTTTCTGACGACTTCTCTCCTATTGTATTCATTTGTTTAACATTAAAAGCATTTCAAAACATTTTGAGATACATCATGACTAGACTTATTTTACATCCTGAATCTCCAGTGTTCAGGATAATCTCCACTGAATTTGACAAGTTTCTTTCACATTTGTGTACTGAGCTTGGTGCTTTCAGTAAAGAACTAGGATGAAAAATTATTAAACTTGAGAAAAGGTAGTTCTCACCTTTAAAAATGGATAGCTTCAAAACCAGCAAGATTACCACCCAAAGCCACAAGAAATTAGTAGAGTATCTTTCTTCACTGTAATATAAACTCAGCAGCAGCAACGTATCTGATACATATTAATATTGGAAAGCTAGAAACTTAACAACAACATACAGCAATGCAGAATTTAGAATATTAGCCTGAATCGTAAGGTGTTTGAAGTATGTTATATTTTCTCTTGATTTCAAAATGCCTGCAGTTTATTCAAGAGAAATTGCCTAGGGTTCATTTTCTGCTTCAGATACAACTTATACCATTTAAAAACATGAAGACTTAATAATTTTTTCAGTCCTCTTTTGCCCCCAAAGAATTTCCTGAAATGGCATTGGTTCTTTGTGGTTGCCTATTTTAAATTATTGTATTTCACTTGTTTGAAGCATATACCTACAATAGTCATGGGTACAAGGGGGCTTATCTAAAGAAATCCTGACAAATATCACTGCAACTGAATTTATGTTTTATCAAGAATTAATGCTTACCTCCTGTCTACTTGTGGGGATAATTGGAACTACAGCAATGCAAACATGTTGCTTTTAAGGCATATTTTAAGTGAAAAGAAATACCTTTTCAGTTGAACAATTTTTTCAACATAGCATTTGAAACCCACTACATAAATATAATAGGAGACTTGTCAAAACTACTGAAGATTTCCTGAACCCAGGAGACTATGTATCATACTTCACTATATCCCTTATATCTAATTTCCACCTTTTCTGTAAAGGCTAGTATGAGCCATGATTCTTTAATAGGTATTTGACACTTACATAACTCACAGGGGAGACTTACCTCTGAATTTTCATTTAATTTCTACTACACTAAATAAATATTTGGGATTGTTGCTATTTTCTGAATTAAGCATTTAGCTTTTTCTACTTTTTAAAATATGTCTAACCCAAAATGTATTAGTTTTGTAATGCAAAAGTAAAAACAGTAAAAACAGGACTGGTAAAAATGATGCACTAATGGGGAAAATTTACATTTCACAATGTTTCCTAAATTTTACCATACCTATGTGATATTTTGATAAGGGATTATGATTTCCAACTTTATTTTGAAAAATATGGAAGTTAGCTCACTTTTTGTCCATTTCCTATTCTTGCCATTCTTAATCTTCCTCCTCTATTTAGCCAAAAAAAATCTATCTGGTTTCTTTGTCAGGCAAAGTTGCAAAAGCTTTGGTAAATCACTTCTGATTGGGCTACATAACACAGTCAGGATGGAATTCTTTGATATATAGGACTGTTACTAATTTTACTTTCAGAGGAACAGAATTTGGACATTCAAAGGCAAAAGCAGCTGAAAATACTAGTAGTTTCTGAAAGTTTTGGCTTAAGGTCCTTAAAAGGGCTCTGAGAATTTAGTTGCCCAAACCCTGTTGCCTACAGGTCTCGTTATTCTCATGCTTCTAATATTCTTAATTACCAGTTACTATAACCTAACTGTAATGCAACAACACCACATGAATAACAAAATGCTGCAACGTATTTATTAAGATAATGGATGGAATACAATATAGATAGCATATAAACATAGTGCGAGCAGCGCACCACATTCCACCCATAAAGTGGTGCCCATTGTTGCTGCTGTGGTTGCCTTCCCCTCATTTATGCTACTGATCTGTACAAATATTTGGACCATAATCTTGAAAAAATTCAAATTAATTTTTATTAATGTATTCAACTACAAATTCTTGTATGAATAAAGTTATACAAAATTAATTCGCATTGGTAGGATTAATTTACTGTGCACCATACTCATGGGTGGCAAAATGTAAGACACAGGTTACAGGTTGTTTATTTTAGAGCATTTTACCTTCCATTATCTACATGCATCCTGAAAACTAAGAAAAACTATGATGGTTGAAATATTAACCCATCAGAACAGGTATGAAATCTAATTATTGTTCTTTGAATCCCAGCATAACAGTGCTATCGATTAAATCTAACCCAAAAATTGAATGTCCCATTGGAGGCACATTCTCCATGAATGTGCCTCCAATGGGACACAACAATCATGGTTTGCAGCAGAATTTCTATTGAGAGATGGTTATTTTGAGATTTTTTTTTTAAGTGGAATATTCTAAACCTTACAACCTCATTGTTCATACACACTATTTTAAAAACTGGCCCCCAAAACTAAAGGGGAAAGTATATTAAACAGTGGATTTTCCAAGGTCATAAAACCATTTTTTTAAATGAATAAAAACTAGAGAAAGGTTCCAAATGCATATAGTAGTACAGGGCATTTATACATGTTTTCATCCCACAACACGTGCAGATCCTCCACTTCAGACTAGACTTGATTCAACGAGCTGTGATTAATCTGCATGCAAGCTGATGTGAACTGCACTGCCCCGTGTGCAGTTGTACAAGCGGTGAAATGCACATCAGTGCATAGAAAATGGGAGCAGTGCAGTTCTGAACTAAAGCAACCACCAATGTGTTTTAGTTCAAAAGTGTGACACCACCATTTTCTCAGTGCTGATGTGCATTTCTCTGTTTATACAACTGCATGTGCCAAAGCACTAGCACTTTCCACTGCTGAAGTGCATGCATGTGTACAATTGCCCACAGTTCCTAAGCTCAACAGTAGTCTGAGAAAGATGAATTGAGGTATTGTTAGTGTAACAGGGAATCCCAACCCTATTAGCTATATAGGAAGGGGAAGTAGGAGGGAAGAGTGGGGTCCCCAGGAGAGCAAGACATTTGTGGCCACAGAGGCAGACTACTGCAACAGTCAGCACCAGGAACCAAACCTTGACAACTGGGGCTGCTAAGCAGCTGAAGAAGGTTGTGGGGCAGAGGAATCCAAATAGCTCATTAGGCTGAACAGGCACCCTTGGGCACATCCCAAAGGGCAGTGGTCAGATGACCAGGAGCAGGGCTTGGCTGCAGATAAGCCCAGTCTCTGGGCTAGGGGTGGCAGTCTATGTCCACTGGCTGCAGTGGAAGGAGTGGAGGACAGAGCTGGCTGCCAGGGAAAAAGTGCCATGGGGCTGAGGAAGACAGGTTGGCTCCTTATGACTGATAATTGTTATGGCTTTGAGGGACTTTGGGATGAGCTGTAACTGGATGGCTAACCCACTGTGTTACAGTTATCTTTTCTGTATTCAAGTTTAACACTCAAGGACCATGTTGCAGCTTTAGGGGAGGTCTGGAGGCCATGGACCAGGATGCTAGGGGTATTCAGAGTTTTGAGACTAGTTTTGGTCAAGGATGTATAGGGCTGAGGACCAGGAAGCTAGGGTCCAAGGCAGCAGACCTGGGCGGGAGGGTCAAGTCAAATCAAGTAAGTGCTGAGGCTGCTGTGACTGTTCAGGTACCTTAGATGCTGTAACAATCCTCCTAGGTTAGTTGTGTAGCTTTGGATCACTGGTGATTCTTTGGGCACAGTGACCTGGTGGTACCCATGTCCTGTCCAGGTATGGATAGCAGTTGGCTCACAGGGAGCTCATCCGCCCTTTAACATGTCTTGTTTTTAGTCCTGCTGGGTTCCCACACGCTCTCCTCACCCAGGCTAGCTCAGGTGGGAGCTCCAGCTTAGTTGCCAACAACCTGACCATGGAACAGGCTGTACTGGTTTGCATGATACCAGATAGCAGACCAAGAGGGGCCTAGCCTGACAATAGAGCTGAGGGGATTCAACCAGATAAAAAGGGCCAAAACTGGAAAGTCTAAAGCCTGGACAAAGGTTTTGGGGCCTGAGGGATCCAGTGATAGTTTAAGGCCTAGAGATCCCCTCCAAGCGGCAACTGAGAGTCATCTGCAAGACATGGGTGTAGCTATGAGGACATCTGGAGGCCACAATATAGGCCATAAGAGATGACTAGGACCGTTTTAAAGGGGAAGTACAAC